ACACCCACACACAAATAATCAAGGCACCAAGAGTAAATTTGGTGTTACTCTATAAATGCAAGGGAAAATAATCATTGTGGTTATTATTATTAGTAATCGCTTTGATTATGAAAGTCATGGTTAGTGAATGTTTGTTACTTAATTACATAATGGCTCGTAGATGAAACAAATGGCTAAATGAATAAAACTGAAAATGTTTTAATGCCTCTTCTATGAGCCTAATTTAACAAAGGCCTTGCGCATGATTATTGCTGATGTAATGGTCTCGAACTAAACAAAGGAAATTTACCTTCTGTTGGTCAGCGAAGACGACATCATCAGCACCATGCAAGAGCCACATGACAAAGTCACATGATGCCACGGACATGAATGGTTGAAAGGATAACATAGAAGAAGAAAAAGAGGGAAAGTGTGGGGGTAGCAGGGACAGGTGGGGGGCATATGGGAAACATACAAAACATTTTGAAATGATGAAAACATGTCAAAATAATAATAAAAAAACAAAACAAAAACAAGAATGTTAAAGACATAATGACAAAACAGAACAACAAAAACAAATCGTAAATTGATAAACAGAAGTTTTTGAACACATAAAAAATATGTTATTGAATATATGAGGTACTGGATATTTAGTTATGGCTGTTAACAACACTGAGGATATCAGTAAATAACCAAACAAATAAACTAATAAAGATATTGAAGACTCAGCCAAAACTATACACCCAGAATTGCCTCATACATCCAGTTGACAGCTTTTCCTCTGGCATTTTTCTTTCCTCTGTTATTTATTTTGGTAACAATTTGGCCAGATCTGGATTTTAACTTGTACCCATTCTAGTAGGGCTGATTGTCTTTGAAAATAAATGACATGTCGAACAGAAAATCAATTTTAAAATCAATTCAAATAAATTTTAGTTGTTGTTGTGTCTTTCCGGTAACAATAGAGCTTAAATGAAAACAGAGGAAACTCTGCAGCTTTGGGAATAAAACCATGCCAACTAAGTATGATACACAACACGGCAGACAACAATAGGAACACATGAAAAATCTGAAGAAATAAGTTCTACGACAGCTAAAAAAGCATATGTGGCATTTGTTCTGAGGAATGCATTTGTAAAAGCACTGAGCAGATACACTGCCATCAGCTGCATCCTATTTCAAGCTAATGAATAGCCACAACTGCATTAGACAAATGTTATTAAAATGGTGTGTCAAAAAGGAAAGACTCGTTAAGAACAATACTGAGACATACAGATCTCACACAGCAGACACATCATACATCAGGAGCTTAAAAGGAGCGACTACACTTACAGCAATTACTCCAGTGACCAAACACACATGTTATGCTTCTTTACACACTGCACACTGTTAACCAAAATGACGTTTTAAGGTCTGTGAAAACCACAAATGACAGCAATAA